TTTTTTAAGCCTCATAAAGAATTCTTAAGTTTCAATTGGTTAAACTAGAAATTTCGGAGTAATTCCGAAAAAACACTTTTTTCGGTTTTTTTTCGTTCACGATATCTCTTGAACGAATCAACCGATTTTGACCGGCTTGGTAGCGATCGACGTGGTTTTTCGATGTTAAGATCTGATTAGTTTTTGGAATTGATCGGCCGAGCCGTTCAAAAGTTATAAGAGGTTTACATACATACACACACACATACATACAGCCGCACGGACACCACCGCGGGAATAGTCAGGGAAGCTTCCTAGGACTTCAAAACGTCGAGATCTGATGAAAACTCGATTTTCGAAAAACGGGGTAAAAACAATAACTTCCCGATTTTTGAAAATTTTCAATTTTCTTGACGGGAAGTTAAAAATATAATTAAAGTACATGTAAAACCATAAACATAGTCATTTTCAAATTAAAGATTTGACACAATATAACAGCATAAGAAAAAAGAAAAAATATAAACAATGATAGATTAGAGCAGTGTAGTTTTGTATTGTAAATATCAATGTATAATGTAAATTATTTTAAAAAATAAAATTTGCAGACTTTGATCCCTAGGCCTCCCTGAGTTCAAGCTCATAGAAGAATTCCAAAGCTTTTGATTTAAATGCCTCTATGCTGAGTGAGTTTATGACATCTGGTGGAATTTCACGCCAAAGGCGTATTGATAAGATTAAAAAGGAGTGCTCGTATACTGATGTCGAGAAATTTGGAAAGCAGAAAGAGACATTGTTGTACTTTGAAGCCAACCTTTCCGAGCGTCTGATGTCTTGTGGCTCATCAACAAAAAGACATCTCAAAAAATTTGGTTCACCAGAACTGAATAATTTGTATAAGAAACAGGCTAAAAGATAAAGTCTTTTTGATTTGATTGAAAGCCAATTTAAATAATAATGTTTATTAAAAATAATTATGTAAGTATAAATAATAATTTGGAAAATAATATAATTGAAAATGATAGTCTTTGATAAATACTACAGCAAATTATTAGCATAAAATTTGTTTTGATACAAGATTTAAATTGCGCGAATTTTTTGATTTTTTTTTAATGGCGACGTTAATTTGCAAAGTAGTTAGTTTTTTGGCCGGTGTTTTTTTTGGCATTTTTTATATTTCTCATACAATTGAAGATATATGTTTCATAAAACTGAAAATTACAATTCAACAAATTAATTAAATATTTAAAATGTCATTAGTGTCATTACTATGGAATGACTTTACACTAGTTACTAGTAGTATTGCATTAGCCTGTTTTTTTTATCCTAGGAATGGTTACACGATACATTAATTCGCTAATAACGAAATTATTTTAAAAAATTTGATTATCAAATTCATTTATGTTTTAATATATTGCAGACATAAAAATATGGCTGATGAAACTCAAGAATTTCGAGAGTCAGTCCAAGAAAAAATTTTAAAAATTATGGCCAAAGAAAATATTAAAGAGACACCAGCAGCTATCACTAAAAATAAGAGAGAGAAAGATTTGGATTATCTCTTTAATTGTGAAGCGTTATCTCAAAGCTTTGAGAGAATGGCAAGCTTTGAAAGTGATAATCCAAATTATCTAGATAATGAAAATGAAAGAGAAATTAATAGCTTCAAAATGGAGCCAAATATTCAACCCTCTTCATTGGTGGCACTCAAAACGCCATAGGTTTCCTAAACTGGCTAAGCTGGCGAGAAGATACTTAGGTGTCCCAGCATCAAGTACACCCTCTGAAAAAGCTTTTTCTACAGCTGGAAACATTATTAGCTCAAAACGCAACTGTTTACTACCCGAAAATGCTAATTTAAGGGGGTATTCTAGTCTAGAAGCATGAATTTCAGGTAATTTTTTGAAGTGCCGTAAAAAAAAGGCAATCAATATTTTTAACTTCCCGCTAAAAATCTCAGATTTTCAAAAATCGGGAAGTTATTGTTTTTACCCAGTTTTACAAAAATCGAGTTTTCATCAGATCTCGACGTTTGAAGGTCACAGGAAGCTTCCCTGACTATTTTTACGATGATGTCCGTACGTCTGTATGTA